AAATTGGTTGATGTCAACCTCAGCCACAGATTTTAGAACCTTAGACTTTCATTCATTTTTTTTTTCAATTGACACAAACGTTTACAAAACAGATTCATCTTTTATTCAATTTACATGAAACTTACACAGTATATGTGGAGCGCATGTCTCTACATTGGAGAGTTTTCATTTTTCTCTAAGTTCATCTATTGATTTTATAATAGCAATAAACATGCCATATTTGCAAAAAAAAAATTGGGAACTTGGAACATTTGTATTAGGAAAACTAAAGATGTTTTGGAAATTCTATATGTCAAAGTCCTTTATTATATGCTAATGTGTCAGAAAAGTGTCACAGAAAAATTATATCTGAAACGTGTGTTCTGAAGTGTGGACTTGAAAACGTGTAAAAACGTTGAAAAATAAAAAAAAATAAAATCTCCCTTTCTATTTACACTGCAGTAATGAAACTTGGGACAATTTCAGCACTTTTCATGTACAACCAGTCAAATAATATTGGTTGACATTGAACAACTTTGCATTTTTATAACGAGACGCCCCCTTAACTTGAAGTATACTAACTCTTCGTTTCCTTTAGTATAGCCGTGCTGTAATCCAACTTAATATAGCACCCTGAATACTGTAAGCTTCTATCTTTTAAATCAATCTTTCATGTGGCACTTTATGAAAAGCTTTGCAAAAGGTAAGGTACCCAATGTCACAAGCGTTTCACTATCAATTGCCTCGACTATGCTGGAATAGAATAACAGCATATCTGTTAAACATAAATCATTTATTCATCTATGTTTTTCAAGATGAAGATGAATGTTTTTTACAGTTATCGATTGAAGCAACTTTCCCACAATAGACGTTATGCTAATTGGCCGATAGTTTGACGCAAGTGATCTATCTTATCTTTTGTAAATTAGTACCACATTAGCAACCTTCCACGACTCCGGCACTTCAAGTCTTTGATTGAAGTCTTACGGCAACGCACTACAGTTGCTCTCGATAATGCAGTCAAAACACATTGACAAGAAGGAGAGATTAAAATACTTAAAAAGCTTTCTTGACATAATGATGGTAATCTCACCAACCCTAAACCCAAAGTACAGACAGGCTATGAAAAATTTCCCTAATTTTGGTTTTAGGCAAATCGGGCAAACCCGATTTGCCTAATAAGCCTAGTTTTCCCTGAAGATATATATTTTTCTTATGCATTCTATTATATTTTATATGATTTTATGTTTTTTATTTGAGTCAAAACTAATGTAGAAATATGACCAAACATAACCTAATCTACGTGAGAAAATTTCCCACATAGTTTAAATAAATTGTATTCAATTAAATCTACACTAGGGAATTATATTTTTGATTGTTGTAGAATCTTTACCAAAACTTAATGCCTCGTAGCCTGGTGGATAGCGCGCAGGACTATATGTGCTAATGTGTCAGAAAAGTGTCAATTAAAAGTACAATTAATTCTGTGGCGCGGGTTCAATTCCCGCACGAGGCAGAAACAAATGGGCAAAGTTTCTTTCACCCTGAATGCCCCTGTTACCTAGCAGTAAATAGGTACCTGGGTGTTAGTCAGCTGTCACGGGCTGCTTCCTGGGGGTGGAGGCCTGGTCAAGGACCGGGCCGCGGGGACACTAAAGCCCCGAAATCAACTCAAGATAACCTCAAGAACACGAATAAGAACCGTCATAATTAATTTCGAATTTGCAGTTCGATTAAATACAGAATATCGATATTTAAGATTAGATATTTGAGCATTTATGTGTGAATTCCTTACCTGACCCTTAATGCCAATCTCCTTAGCAATATTAGCCTGTGCCGGGCAAACGTTACGCACTGCTAACTGGTACATGTATTCTGCCTGTAGCTCTCTCGGCCCAAGCTGGAACACCAGGAACCAGACTATTCCCAGCCACGACCTCATGACCATTGTTTTGTCAACAACACCTCGCCAAGATCCTGAAAAAGATCCTGCTAAACATACAGATACCAAGGATCAAGGTTATTACCAACAAATGTTTATCTTCCTCTGTTACCATTACCAATGTTTTTATACACAAATAATACATCTTCAGAAGGATGGATTTACAAGTCAGCAAATTTAAATATATATATATATAGGCAGGAGAGAGAGGTGAACTGAATTGAGGTGCAATAACAAATATATGAATGGGATGGGGTGGATATAAATAAGAGCTGCATTGTATGGATCAATTGGCCCATACATGAATATTAATATCATAAGATAGTGGATATTAACAAGGTATTAGTGAGATAAATGTGTAACAAGGATCCTACATAAATTGCCCTCTAACTGATCAATCAAAAAGGGATTTAAATTGTACAAACTACTGCTAATATTCATTAACATGATTTTGTAATCAGTATTAAGGCAGATTCAATTATGTTCCTATTAAAAGATTTTTTTCAATTCGTTATTGAAGAAACCATCTCCCAATTAATTTGGTGAGAATTTTTTAACAAATGAACAAAGCATTAGACA